ATCTGTGATTATGTGGCTGTTTTTATTTCTAATGAGTATATCTAAAAATGGTAATTCGTTAAAATTATATTCTTGCGTGAATTTGATTTTTGGGTGTAAGTTTTGAAGTAGTGTGTGGAATTGGTTAATATCACCCCATGAGGATTTCCAGGAAATGAAGCAATCATCTAAGTATCTTTTCCAAGATTTAGTGAATTGGGTTTTTATATTTTCCCCATATATTTGTTCTATCCTTTCATAGAGGTTTTCTTCTAGGTAAGCTAATGTTAGGGTGGCATATATTGGTGCCATTTTTGTTCCCATTGCAGTGCCCAGGGTTTGGATATAGTTTTGTTGTCAAATTCAAAGGTGTTATTGTTTAGAATTAGGTGTATACTATCGATAATGAACTCTTTAGTGAATCTCGGATGTAGTATTTCTAGATGTTTTTCAATCCAGAATGAGATTGCCTTTTTACGTAGTTCATGGGGTATGTTGCTGTATAGGCTACTAATGTCAAAAGTTGCCATAAGCATTCCCGGATCTACCTTTTGTGGTATGCAGCTAAGGAAATGGATATCGTCTCTGATGTGGCTTTTAATTTGTTTAGTATATGGTTGCAATATTATGTCTATTAGGTTACTGAGTTTGCTAGTTAGACAGGCTGGTCCTGCTACTATTGGTCTGAATGTAAGGTCACTGGGGTTTGGGGTGCTAATGTATATATATATATATATATATATATATATAACACAAAATATGTTAAAGGGCCGGAAAAACTACCGTACCAAAAAACGGATGTAGAATAAAATGTTCAATGTGGCCGCCTTGAAGAAATAGACAAGTAGAGCAAGCCAAAACAATAAAGAGGTAAAAACACCATATATTACCGCACGTCATCGTAGTTTCGACCGCTAGGTCTCTTCAGGTGGCTGGGTAACAAATTTACAAATTTGGAACATTTGTCAACCAATTTTAAACACAACACATATATATATATATATATATATGTGTGTAAAAATATTCTTAAAGACTATTGATAAGGTACCGCAATTAAGCACTGGGATAGATTCCAGTAGACCCGAACAAGAAAATTAAATTATCTATTACAAAAAAATTAAAACTGCTAACCTTATCATAAAAAATAACAACACACCTACAAAATCAAAACTAGAAAGAACCAACATTATTTACGAGTTTAAATGCCCCTTGAGGAATTGTGTTCCTGTTCAAACCAAACTCCTATATAATTACATTGGTCACACTACTAAATGCCTATCCAGACTAGTTACGTTACACCTTCCCGATCATAGTTCCATTAAGATTCATTTAAACATGCACAAAACATAGCAGACTCCATCCGAAATATACTAGTATAAATTACAAGCATAATAACCTCATCCGCATATAAAAATAGATTTAAAATAAAGTCCTAATAATAAAAAAGCAAAATGTCAACACTCAATAACATTATCTATGAACACGGTCACAATATGCTGACCGTATTTGGAAAATAAAACATTCCTATAATTCTAGATACATACATAACACAACCCATACATTCAGTTAAAAGTAAAAATAAAATCATTCTTGATAATGGCTAAAAGTTTAGCCGAAAGTGCTCGGACATGCAGAACTTTTGGACAGTTTTTACACACTTTGTGTCCAGAAAAGAAAACACTTGTATGAACACAAGAAAAATGAAATGAAAAGCTTAATCGCAGTATCTTGTCAGTTGTCTTTAACGAAACATCTATAAAAGAGGAATTTCTAACTAAATACACAATATATATATATATATATATATATATATATATATATATATATATATATTAAACGTGGCTCTAAAAAGGAAATTTTACAACCAATCACCAGTATTTTGAAAAAAATGTAATTGATCCTCTACATAAAGAGAAAATTCACCAACGCTAATCATTGATAAAGCCCTCCTCCTGTGAAGCGAAAGGAAGATAACACATGATAAAAGTCTCAACAGGGACATGTCAATTTTCTCTTACTTCCAACCATAGTATTTCCTTTTCTAATTTTTATGAAGAGTCTAAACAGTGAGTAATAATATTTCTAATTCATGGGAACTTTCTCACTCACAAAAACGTCTTATCAACGATCCTTTTAAATCCCAAGATATTATATTGTAAAATGTGCATCCATACAACTAAACACGACTTGATATCGAAATCATGTCTATTGTACATAATATAAATAAAAGTTGTTTTGCATTTAATTTGAGTTAACTTTTTTTGTTTGCATTCATTGCTGTGGGAAATTACAACTTGTAACCATGGAGATCGAATTTAGCCGGTAAATCTGCCTAATACATTGTTTTGGCTAATTGTAAATTCAGTTCGAGGCAATGTTGCACAATAATGTGTGCTGTAGGAGTAACCATTTTCTTTTAAATGTTGTATCCTAGTATTTGATAAATTTTGTATCGAAATCAAGCGCCAAATTATGTGCAATTGTGTAATTTTGGTTAAACTGATTTAGATGACAACTTTCTTTTGGTTGTTATAGCAATAATAATCATTTACTGCTACAGCTGCTTTTGAAAGCTGAAACCCTCATTCTTGGCTAGCTTTAAGCAACTAAGGATAAGTTCAAAGTTTATTGGCTATCAAATTCGTCTTAAGCGAACTGATGTATCGTGAAAACGGAAAATATTTATATCATTCTTGTTTTTAAAGATCTAGTTTAAATTCGGCCAACTCTGCAGCAATCGATAACTATCTACATCTATAACCTTGTATAGATTGCACAAATAAAACTGTAACGAAAGAAATCATAAGTGAAACCAAAAACTGTTCAAACTATAAAATCAAAATATGACACAAGAAATGTTACAAGTAAAGCGTTGCGCAAAAAGAAAAGAAAATATATCCAATGTTTTATCTTCAGAAGTAGGAGTTACATTACGCACAGAATTTTGTGATCCCTAAATACAATGATGGCCGTCAAAACAAAAATATTCTGACGAAATTAATGTAGTTAGAAATAAGTCTAGCTAGAATTTTCGATGTGTATATTAAAATAGTCAATGCCATGCATATCTTTGAAAGTTCATGCGTGATATCTACACACTTAGCACAAACGTTGTTATGATAGTTTTTACTAACCTTGGATTGTCACATTTTCGTCTAGAGTATCTGTACCCTAGACCACAAGTACGACTGCATTTTGAGTAAGGGCTCCAATTGCTCCAACCACCAATCTGTATATGCACAGGCTCCCAAAGATTAGCATTGGTAAGATTTTCACAGTGCGAATCTGAACGACATATCTAAAACAAGATAAGTTAAAAAGAACGGAAAAAATAAAAGATTCGGGTGTGATGTAATTATTTTCAAATTTGTGTACAATTTATCTGATGCATAATATTTGGGTCATTATTTTAAATGATGTTTTATAATTACTGCCATGGTAACAAAGAATGTCGTAGTAAAATTATGTGCCACACCTAACCTATAGAACTCAAATTTAGAACTAAATAGCATGAATAATAATAATAATATGTATGAATGGTGATTCAAAGGTGATTTATAATAGGGAATAATAAAATAAAACAACAGCAACAACAAAACTAGGTTTTTCGTTTTATTTATTGCCTATCAGTCATGCATTCATTTTATTTTCAAGAAAAATCGATTGTGTATCTCTATCTACAATTATCAATAATTATATTTAGTATTTTCTTCGGTTTGTAAAGATTTCTGTGGATAACACACTATTCAATCAGAAGTTAACAGTGTCAGATATAAATGAATGTTAAAAATAATACTGGTCACCATGTTTTGGTTCAAGGATGGAAACACCCTTTCTTGACTAATTTGAAGGCGCCGAATCTAAAAATGACGTCAATTTTTCATATTAGTTAACCTTTTCTCTCTCTCATTTGGGCAAAAATTTTGCCCAAATCATTTTCATCGAGTGATTTCACGGATTTCAGATTAAATCAATCTTTATTAATGAAAAGTAATCTGATATCTCAATGATGAATGACGTCTCTATATAAAAAAGGAATCTCTTCATTGGATTTTACCATAACCTGACCATTTTTCTAAGTAACTAAAAATGTGTATAGATATCTCAGTGTACATCGGTATTTAAACCATTAAAGGCTATTCATAATCAAACTATTCATAGGCTTATTAGTAGTATATACATGTGTTGTATTTTTTGCACATACCTCATAATTACAATATGATCTATATAAGTATAGATTTGGTGTTTTACATGAGTTTATTGAAATTAATTGATATGTAACGTTTAGTGGACAAAAGTAAAGTGGAATTGAGCTAGAATTTTTTTATGATTTTATATATTGATAGGGAGGGGGTTATGTTTTTATTATTTTTTTAAAATTTATTTTTAAATTTAAGTATTCATTGTCAGGAACGTTGGTATAAGGGGATATGACATCTAAACTAACCATGCGTTTATCTCATATATTTATTCCCTTAGTTTTTCAACCAGGTTGCCCGAATTTTTAATATGTGATGGGCTAATTCTTCTAAAGCGTTTTTTTTCTTCTTCTAAAGAATTTTTATTATGGCTTTCATCTGTCTGTGGGGAGCACTTCCAATATCATGGGTCGTATTGTTGTAAAGTGGAATTGAGGACAAAAGTAAAGTCTTTTTTTTACTTTATATCCGAATACAATGTTATTATCACATTTTATTTTATTTCTAGACGTTAATACCAAGGTAATAACTTCAATACCGATTCCTGTGTCTAATTTATAAGAACGAATAACAAAAAACTATCAGTTATTTTGCCAGAAAATCTTATTATGCGTACTTTGAAGTGAAGCGGGGCGATCAGATTAAACCGTAAGCACCACATGTCTGCAAAACCAATGAACTAGGAAAACTCAAACTTCATTTGTCATTCCGATGATTAGGCGTGACGACTGTTACTTCTGCTTAACTGACATTGCTGGTCCCAACAAGAATAAAAGAAAATCTGTAAACTATTCTTCTCTCAATTCAGCTACCAGTCCTGTACTACAGTCCGATGAAATCTCGATTCCTGTCTTCAAAGGTTTTACGTCCAATGGCGGCTCGGACCATGATGATGCGAATGATTTCGTCGACATGGGTGAGAATGACAATGACAATGATTTTGAGGGATCCGATCTGAACAGATAATATTTGATCAAAAAGAGCTAAGCGACTTAATCGGGGATTTGAATATCAAAAGAAGCATCGGGACTCTTAGCTTCAAGACTGAAGGAGAAAATTTTCCTTAAGGAAGGAACAAACGTTACATTTTATCACAATAAAGATGCTGAAGTATCTCCTACTTCAATTAAACCAACGAACTTGTATATTGTAACAATGTTAAAGGAGGTTTGCTGTCTTGGTCTTCAGGACTATGGTGCAAAAGCATTAATAGCTCAAAGTGCAATCTAAAATTTGTTTGGCGGCGTAGCACCAATGTATAGGTATCGAAACCTCGATAACAAATAGACACTTCAATGCTGAAAGAAAAGTAGGGACCAATCAAAGATGTAATGGAATGGATAAATTACTTTTATCATAATTTACGTTTTCAGACAAATGACATAAAATATGTAATTTTCCTTTTTTGCCCATCATCTGAAGTAAGAAAACCCGAGATAATTGAGAATAATGACTGTGATATTCGAATTCAGGACCATGGAATTGTCCAACATTAGCTGTAATATATCTTGTGCTATTTCAAAAGAAATTTTTTGTAGGCCATTGTCATTTTTCTCCTAATTTTAGGCAACGACACAGAATACGAATATCGCTTAGGCACTATAGTGTTTTATTCTCGATATTTACCTTGCCTAATCCACAATAGAGACCGTCGATTCCTTCTTCATCAACACGGATGGCGCCAAACTGTGGTCCGGGCTCCAGCATTGCACATGATTGAATTTCACAGATCTTCAAAAAGAAAAAATCAAATATATTGAATAATATAGACATATTTTGTCTACTTATTTTTATACTGATCCTTTTCAGTTGTCTAATCAGTTTATTGACGTTGAGATGAAATTAATCAAGGAATGTGTCATAGTTTTTTTTTTTACCCAAATACTTTCAACCTTTTCTAAGATTATATTCTTGTATAAATTACAAAAACAAAAACATGCTATTGTAACTGTGATAAAATCTGCATTCCATTGTCATAATGATTTTTTATAAACATGCGCTCTCTTATAAGCTATTATAGAATTTTAAAATTTATTCGTTGCAGTTGTCGAATATTTTACAAAACAAGCGTTTCAATATAAAGGAGCTGACAGGAAATTGGTAGAAATGTAAAATGGCATTAATATATAAAAACTTTCAAATGTTGTTGCTATATTCTTAATAAATTTTGCTGGATGTTGGTTGGTTGATTTTGATATAGAGGGCCTCGAAAATTTGAAGTTTTTGTTTATTATTTTCGTGGTGTAGTATATTGGTGTTGTTAACAAATATTTTCCTGTATTGTGAAGGTGGACAGGAATGTGTTTTTAGATGTTGTGCAATAGAACTTGTATCCAATAAATGAAGTGGAAGACGTCTTGATAATATTGTGGTCGTAACATATGTACATACATTTTTGTCAGTGATACAATCTCCCAAAGATTTTCCTTGTTATTTTTGTTTATTTTCTTCGATTTTTTATTTTTATTTTCGTTTATTTTCTCCGATTGTTTTTTTGTATATGTATGCATTGCATTGTGTTTATTATATTATGTTATATTATTATTTAATTTATATTAGTTTCTGTTGTATTTTTATATTATGTTATATTAGTATGTAAGATGGTAAATATTTATTAAAATGTCTACATTTACCCATTAATTTATTTTTCTTTTTAAATAATTTAATTTGATTAATGAACTTTATTATATATTTTTTTCTTCTAAACACAGGCTACATTTTCTAACATTAATGCTTATTTAGAAAATATGCTTTCTCCGACAGGAATCGAACCTGTCATTTGAAGCATCTGGTTAGTAAAGCACGAATTACTGTTTATAAACACACAATCTACGACGATTTTTCTCGAACGATCATTTCTGCTCATGAATCGAACCACCATTAAGTCTGGCGTGCTATGACGCATATTTTCTACGAAAATTTCTCGAACATTCAGGCTGGTAAATGTAATTAATACTGTTTAATTAAAAGAATAATGCATTTACTCAAATAAGTGTATCCATGAAAAATAACGTACAAACAGAATATATATATATATATATATATATATATGATATACAAATTCCAGTTATATTAAGTAATTGAATGACAAATTGGAAAAAAATCTATGTAACGCTAAAAGGATTTCATCAAATTCCAGTTATATTAAGTAATTGAATGACAAATTGGAAAAAAAATCTATGTAACGCTAAAAGGATTTCATCAAAGGGAAGTAATATTTTTACTGATGGAATTGCAAGGCAGGGGAGATATAAACGTAAATGTCGGTTATAATTATCAACCAAGGAGAAACCCTGAAGATGTAGGAATACCAAATTTTAACATTTTCAATTTTAACATTTCTGGCGTCCGATGTGTCTAGACGCATAACTCAGCCGATTTCATTCAATTTGATAACGATTTTGCTTTTGTTTATATCGCTGTTGTTTTTAATTATCCCACATTGTGTAAAGTGAAATGTTGTAAGAAGCTGGACGCAAATCTTATTGCGGATGATTTAGAAATCAGTACACTTTCCAGACACTTTCACTTTAGTAAATTGATTTCTCATTTAATTAAAGCAGCATTTTTTTAAATCGAAATTATATTCAGAATCATGATGGTGAATGACTAATGCATTAAATGTATTGTTTTGAAAAATATGTCTTTTGTTCATATAGTCTTTTATTTAAATTTATTGAAGTCTCTCCTATGTATTCTTAGTGGCATTCATTAATAGCTATAGTGTAACTTCCTACTTCAGGTTTTAGGCTATTTTTGTATTAAATTTCTTATTGTTAGAAGTAGTTGGAATAAATTTTATGTTAAGTTTAAATAAACTATTTTCAATTCTAGTTGTCTTAGAATTTTTAGGTAGTATAATGTGTCTAGTTTTATTGAGTTTGTTTAGATCATTCATTCTTTCATATTTAAAAATTTGATTAGCATTCTCTTTCGTATTAAATATGAACTAATTAGGAGCTTGGAAGTATTTTCAATGTATTTCTCCTCATCATGTAAATGGTGAGGGCTATAAATTCTAAATGATTATAAGTAGAAGCCAATAATCATTATTTTATCGTTATGGTGGGACTAAAAATTTACAAAATCATTCAGTAGATATACGATAGAAATTTAGGTTTTAATCATTATTAGTACGATTTAACATATATCGAGGAAAGGTAATGTATTGTTTGTTTCCATTTCATATGTTTGACGTTGATTAGTTTATCTACAAAATCCGATATTGTTTTACTTAATAAAGCATGATCAATATATCGGAAATATGTTGATTGTTTAAGTAAAATACATTGAGAAGTATCAGATTCAAGAAATTTTAAGAACAGAAAAAGAAAAACTTCGTTAAGAGGTGATCCATTTGGTAACCTGAATTCATGAAAATTATTGTTAAAAATGAAATAACATTGCTTTTGTGGTGAGCTAGAAATTTTTTATGATTTTATATATTGATAGGTTATTCTTGATTGTACTAATGTTTTTATTATTTTTTAAAAATTTATTTTTAAATTTAAGTATTCATTGTCAGGAACGTTGGTATAAGGGGATATGACATCTAAACTAACCATATGCGTTTATCTCATATATTTATTCCCTTAGTTTTTCAACCAGGTTGCCCGAATTTTTAATATGTGATGGGCTAATTCTTCTAAAGCGTTTTTTTCTTCTTCTAAAGAATTTTTATTATGGCTTTCATCTGTCTGTGGGGAGCACTTCCAATATCATGGGTCGTATTGTTTTATGTAGACCATAAAGTCTAGCTATTTTAGAGTGGTATTCTATTAGTTTAAACCATGACTTGTCCTCATTACTAACTAATTTTCTCATTGCTTTATTAAATTTTTTTATGTGTTAGTAGTAATATGATGTTTTCATTGTATGCATTCTTATCCATGATAATAATTCCATCCACTTTGATCGAGTAGGTAATAGAAATTCATTTTTGGCTAGTAGGTTCCTTAATGTTTTAAGTGTCTTTGTGGTAAAGTTCTTTCGTTGTTTGTTCCCAAAGTGGCAATAATTAATCCTTGAATTAAAACTTTATTAAACTCCGTGTCGTTGTGTTTAGGTTTTAAATTATTGTGTCTACAAGATCTCCATTTTTAATCACAGTGGCAAATTTTAATCCAAAAGGACTTTTACTTCAGTGTTGAATCAGATTTTATATGAGGTCTAACCATCCAATACACTTTCCTCTGCTATTTGCACATTGGGCGTTCATTTTTTGTTGGCGTTTGTCGATTTGGCTGTTGTTGAGATTTATTGTAAATTAATACAATTATAGCACAAGGCTGAAAAGGGGGAATGGGTCTTCACTATCTTATACCTAGCTAATCGGATTCACGACCCATTCACTCGTTACAATTTCTTCATTCACCATAAAAACTCATCCGTCGTCAATCAATCCTCCATACACCATAATACCACATCCTCTCGGGGGTATGGTGTGGGGGGGTTCTAAAAATATCCCAATGAGATGATAAATATTATTTACAATATATATATATAGAAATCAGATGAATGATCATAAAGGAGAGGGTGAACACTAAAACAAAATAAATATCAAAACAAAGCAAAAAATAAAGATAACTGATGTTAGTAGGACCCGTCCAACTCTTGGAAAAAGAGAAGCCACTGTATTCTGCCCTTGGACAAAATCAAGAGGCTCTCTCTCTAAGGGAGAGGGAAAAGACAAAATATAGACGGGCATGGGGAATCAATAAAGCTGACCCAGTAGAGATAAAAGGGGGCCAAAACAAATTGGGAATCTCAACTTGGATCATAACCAAAGATGGTGCCGGGAGCAGGCCAGGAACAACACTTATTCACATTAACTAGGTACACAAAAGTTTGTCTAGCCTAACCAGGGGAGGGCACCGCAGCAAACCACCCCGATGTGATATAGGTTAACCTAAAAGAGAAAATCAAGGCTAGCCCGTTCAAGTGAACCAAGCTCGCCTCAATCACCCACCGTTCACTAAAGGCTGTCGAATGCAAGCGTTTTCTATCAATTCTAATCCTTATCACGCCCTGTCCCTCAGCCGGCGAAGGAGATGCTCCAACGCCGAAGCGTAAAGTAGGGACAACCCTGACGAACCGACCGAGACACCGCAAAAGCGCCCGACAGCTTCCCGTTCACCTGCACCACGGCACTGGGGGGCGATACAGCAGGATAATCCAGCAGCAGAATTCGGGTGCGAATCTGGCGGCCTGCAGGACAGCAGCAAGGTAGCGATGTTCAACCCTATCAAATGCCTTGGACTGATCTAAATTGATCAGCGCGGCCTCAGCGTCGTCTTTTGCACCCTCTATGATCGTGCGGATCAGATGTAGGTTGCTCTGAATTGTTTGTCTCCTCACAGCGCAAGTCTGCTCAGGACCCAACAGAGACTCGGCAACTGACTGCAAACGCTCCTGCAGGATCTTGGCCAAAATCTTTAACTTTGTGTTTAGCAGAGTTATGGCCTTATAGTCATCTAAATCACGCCCAACACACTTGCCCTTTTTCAACAGTGTGATCACACCTCTGGTGAGCCGGTCGGGGACGAACCCATGCCAGAACCAGTTGTTGAACACAACAGTCAAAATCGGGAAAAAGATGTGCGACAGTAGAATTCATAGGGCAAACCATCCAGACCGGGCGAATTGCCTCTGCCGACCTTCTTCAATGCCGCGTAGACTTCGCCTTCCGTGATCTCTCGCTCGTAGCAAGCCGCTTCAGCCATCGAAAGCCGAGGAAAGTCAACCAAATAGCTACAAAACTCGTCCTCCCGGAGACCAAGCTCCTTGGTAAACCAGCTCTCGAAATGCCGCCGAAACGCCTTGTTTTTTAATTCAAATATTCCATCTTCAGCATGTCATGCGGAATACGTGCCCTTTTGTTTAGTAATTTTCTTTTTCGTCACATTTTCCGTCGTAGAATCCACGCGACGCGCTCTCGCTTGGTTTGACGAAGTAAGTCGCCGTTTTCTTCGCTATACTCCCACCTGATCTCACTATCACAAATCGAACAGCCTGGAGCAGCTCTCTTTATCCTGCTGCTTCGTCGTAATGGCACTAGTTCCCTCACGCGTGTCGGAGAGTCGTCTCCTGAGGAGTCATCAGACGTATCTCGAGTTTCCGGAAGTTCTGTGTCTGTGGAAGCATCGGATTCGCAGATCTCAATTATCCGCTCACTGTCAGACGATGAATCATCATCGGATTCGCTCGGCGATGTATCAGAATCAACGAAAAGGCGAAGATCTTTTACATGCCGTGGCATCCCGTTAACTAGTATTGTTTGTGGACTTACAATGTCCGTCACGCGACCCACTTGATACCTGGAGGTACACCGGTCATGGGGAGCTTTCACCCATACTCTGTTTCCAACTTTGTATATATTGTGATGCTTACAACGATCAGGTGGTAATGTAGTAATTCCCTTTACTTTCAGTTGGTAACAGTGAATCATATTGGCAGGCGCATTAGTCGACGATATATAATCCTTCGGCGTGATATTATGCCAATATACTGCCTCCATTATCGAACACTGCTTTCTTGCTGCAATTCGCTTTATGCTCCGATGAGATCTCTCCACTATACCGTTTCCTGCAGGAACATAGGCGCAGCGAAAACGAAGTTGGACTCCGCAGTCATCCAAGAAATGTTTAAAGGACTTACTGCGGTCATTGTCGGTCAGGATTTCTGATGGTGGGCCTCGTTCAAAAAAACACTTTCTAACTGCCGAATGACGCTTCTTGAGTCTTGTTGAAGCAGGCGTCGCCATATCGTAAATCTACTAGGGCCGCAATCAATTAACGTAAGGTAATGTTGCCCACCGTAATGCATAATGTCCATTCCTAAGCGAGTCCAGATTTCGGTCACACTTAGGTTGCCACGAGGCCAACGACTTGAGGCTGGGTCAATTGACTGGTATTCTTTACATTTTCTGATCACTGCCTTGACGGCCGCCTTGGATGTCGTAGGGTAGACTTGTCTCACAAAATACAGAGTTCAACTGACGCCAGGATGTCCAGTCTGACAATGTATGGCACGTATCTGATCAGGAGAGGTTTCGTTCACTATGGAAGCGCATATCTGGCGTGTTGGTTCGGTTTCCTTCTTTATCATATCATACCATCGTTGCGGTACTCCGGTGAGCTTATCCGCTCGATTCTCACTCGACATTACCAAACTTATCGTGATCAATAAGTTATACTCTTGAATCAGCTTCTCAAGAGTACTCAAACGCCTCCGGATCAGCATCTCACTTGCCGCCTTAGTTCGTATTCTGGCTTTACCAGTGAGCATGTTTGATACCCACCGGTGCACACATGCGGAGTCCGTGAAGAGGTGTAGCTCCGTTGCGCCAAACTGTAATGCTAAATTGACGCCCTTCAGAATAGCATCCAGTTCTGATAAATTGATATGTTGGGCGTCCTTCACAGGTCGCAGCCAACATGCGTCTTCTACAACGCTTCCGTTAATCTCCAACGAAACCCCTGTGGCGATTGACCCATACCTCATAAGGGTGTCCGCTTGTGCACCACTTACCGTATGCAGGGTCATTCTGGCGTATTCTTTGCGCTATGTCCTCAATCATGTTCCTAAGGGGAGCATCTGTCACTTCGTCGTCCCAACCAGACGTGATCGATACTGTCCTGCGTTTTACAAATGATGCAGCAACACGAAGCCACGCACACACAGCAACGTGACCCACCAGTTTTCCACACCACGAGAAGACGTTACGTCGTGTCAGGACCTCAGGAACTGATGGAATGCCATTTTCACGTGTCCACTTAAGCGTGTTGTTATCTTCCGCGACATGCAAACCCAGCACACGTGTGCCGTCCCGTAACCGCTCCGGATCCTTACAGGTCAAACCAAGCGCAGCCAAGTGCTCTTTCACGCGAGCTGCTGACATCATGCTCGCGTCAACATAAATGTCATCAATATATGATGAGGTTGCCCGTCGAACTGACTCGTCTTTCGCCAACGCGGTATCCACAATGGCCTTCATTATGGCTGGTGCAACATTCAACCCGAAACCCATTCAGGTCAAGCAATATCTTCGCGCCTTGAAGATTACAGTTTGAAAGGGCCAAAGTGACTTGTGGATATGTACTACTTGTAAATAGGCCTGCCGTAGGTCAAGAATAGCGACATCCGGTCCTTTTTTACGCCACTCCCTCAGTTTTTGTGCGCACACGTCAGCATTGGCTGTGTGTGCGTCGAGACACTAATTCAGCTCTCGATAGTCTAATACTGGCCGCACTTTATTTGTTTTTCTGCACCACCGCCATCAACGGAATTAAACCTTTTGGAGGACCAAGGTTCCTTTTCTGGATAAGGCTGCAACCAACCGTTATCAAGCCAGGTCTGTAGCTCACGGTCATATTCCTCCTTGACTCCCATTGGTATTGGGTACTCGGGCATCTGATTTTTCAAACTCTCTGGTGATCGACCATCAGACCACTTCCATGATGCGACCCATATCTTCCGGTTTGGGTTGAATTCGGCACAGAAATCAGGTTCTTCTATTTTAATAGCGGTGTAACAAACCATCCCACGCTTGGGAAACCGTACATCGCCACACTGTGTTATCTTGAGTCCGCCCAACTTTTTAATGGCGTCGAAATCCAAGCAACCAGTCGAAACCCAGTAGCTCTCCATCCACTACCAAGACATCGATTTTGAGGGGGTTTGCGTTGTCCACGTCAAGCTTAATACTTCCAACTCCGCAACATTTGAGAGTATTTCCGTTTACGGTGAGTACGTTCACCTCAGTCACACGGCAGGATTGACAGACTGACTTACTCACGAGTGTCTGTGAGCAGCCAGTGTCCACTAGTGCCACTAATACCAATTCCGTTCACGTAAATACCCAAGACGAGTAGCGCTTCATTCATAACTCGCTTATGGAAGAGACCGGCGCTTACGTCTTGTCCCCTTCTTTTCCCTGGGCACGATGAAGCAATGTGGCCTACCTCTTGACACCGGAAGCAACGCATTGTTGTGCGTGACCCGCGTGGCTGACGGGCATATTCTCGTCGAACCGAGCAGTCCCTGGGAAGGTGATTCCACCCAGAGCATCGATAACATCTCATACTCTCCCGACGTTTAACATTTGGATGTTTATCAGCTCCGCCTGGTAAAATGGTAGCTGCAACCATTTCCTCAGGTGAAATTTGATCTTTCATTATGGCCCGAGCTCGGTCCAACAGTTGGTTTGTATTCATGTCTTCCATCCTGGAAGACGCGCGCAGTAGTTTCATGACGTGCGTTGATAACCCTGCTATGAACCCACATACTAATCCTTGTTCCGATATCCCGCCAAATAGACCAGCTAGCTTCTTCAAGTCGGCTAGAAACACGTCGACAGACTCGTCCGGGCGCAGTCGACGTTCCGCGAATTGCTCGTAAGCCAAGAAACAATCCAGTGCAATCTTCAGGGCTCGTTTTATCTGCTCGACATCTGATTTTTGGTCCGAGTTTCACTGCTGGTAAACAGCAAATGCTCCGCACGTCAACCTCAAAGCAAGAACGCGTTCAACCTTTTTAATTCCACACAGGTCACAAACAAGTTTAGCCTTCTCAATCCATTCAGTAACTGCTTGTTCGGTCACTGAGCCATCAAACTCAGGTATTAACTTGATGTCAAATGTCTTGTTCGTCATAGTGCCGAAATAGCTTGTAAGCGATCTGGGATTGCAAAATGTTTGTCGCAGATTATTTCCACGTCACAAAGAATAAATCACTAAGTTCAGACTCTAACATCGGGGACAGAAAGAAAATGCCGAAAACTCGATTCGCAAGCACTATTTCACAAATCCCAATGCACGCCACCAGTCAGAAAGAGAACTCACTCTCCAACAGACGACTTTTTCTTTTTTTCCCCCGATTCGAGAACACCAACTGCTTTTACCGGCCGAACATTTTTTTTCCATTCGTCGACAGCTGGAAGAGGATGTTCAGTATTTTGCATATCAAAATACTTTTATAGCGACACCTGCGACGGACTAGTTTTTTAATTCAAATATTCCTTCTTCAGCACGATATCCAAATTTAAGTTTCTTCAACTGTGAAAAGGGAAGTTGTGTCAAATGCTGAAGTTAGTTTTTCCTTTTTACATTTGTCACTGCACTGCAGGTCGATCACTTCTAATTGTTAATCTGCTCCAATGATATATAAACAAAAGATACTTTTATATTTTATATATAATAACATCATGATAAAATATTATTTGAGTATAACAACAAATTGTATATGGCCTAGCTGGCTGTTTGAAACGGCGCATCAGCCGTAATTTATCAAGTAGAATTTGTTATGGATAATTCATTTAAAAATCAATGATTGATATATAGAAAACCTATGAAAATATTTCTATAATATGCAAGTGTCGACACGTGTCGCAGTGACGTCCGAAGACGCGACGTACGCTCATTATAAGGCATTCGACAGTTCACATATGGAAGTATAATGTAGACGACTGAAAGTGTTCTAATAGTGTATTAGGCTAAAAGTGTATAGAAATTACGAGAAAGAAAAATACGAAAATATTATGTCTGGAAGAATAGAAGATATTTACCTTTTCTGGATATAAAGATATGTATCCAAAGCCCTTTCCAAACTTTTCTTCGCAGTATCGATCTCTGCTACGGTACATGGCTGGTATAAAAGATATGATGATTAAAAATTAAGAAAAAAATTTGTATAATAATGAAAACGAACTTGAAATTCATGAAAAATAATAAAAATATTCTATTTTGAAGGGTTTAGCAGGCTTGATTTAGCAACTATAGGCCGTTTGTACTTCATTAGATGCTGTATCGAACCTAGAATACATTGGCTAACTGTGTAACCGTAACCTAATGCATTTCTGCATCATTCTAGTCATTTACTGATTATCCTGTCGGAGTTAACTCCTCCTTAATTGTCAAAATTGTTCACTAGGATACGCTCTTCCTACACTATAAATACTGGGCGATTTCTTGCCTCGTTCTGTTTTTCATTTCTGCATTTTCGGCGAACACATCTAAAATGTAAGCTCTCGCAGAAGACTGCGTCTTCCCATTCGTGGGAGACGCCATGAATATTATACACACATACACGTATATACGAACATTCATCAAAATACAAACTCTTTACGTTCACACACAAACACAAATGTTAATGTCTATGTCCATTGTAAATTTTGTTTTTTAATACTTATACTTGTTTGTATATATATATATATATATATATCGGTTTTGTTGGTTTTCTTTACACTTCTTTATGGTGGATTCAATCTCTGAGTCCGCCATGTTCTTGTAGTGGACCGCCTTCTAGCAGGAATAAACACCCGTGTTCCTAATTTAACAACGCGTAAACCCACGGTCCGCTACAATCTTCTTTCTGCGAATCAGCGGTTGGTGCTAGAAGAAAACTTTGCCATTAACAATAAATTTTTAAAAAAATCCAGACGACATGCATTCAACGGATGTCAGATTTCATTGAAAAATACATCCGTACCCCCTTACCAAAACGTAACTAAAAAACGGATACAATAATACAGACATAATGAACACCCAGACACCCCTTGTCCAGTTGAAGTAGATTTATCTGTAACCTTGGAAACGTGAATTATGATTTTAGCTGTGTCTTTAAAACCCAGTAATTTTAAAAGTTACTCCAAAATTCGCTTGAGGACGAAATGGAACTAATGTCTTTAATTTAATTACAAAATTAAATTCGTTTTTTTTTAGCTTCCATTTTTGAAACATGGTTAGAACTGTGTAGCGAAAAAAAAAAACATATTTTAAATAAATCAATTTATAATTTTAATGCTCTGTAAATTTACATTGAGCACTATTTTGTAAAAAACAAAAAATATCTATAAGAACACCGGATTATATATCTTACTTTTTCTTTTTTATATATATATATATATATATATATATATATATATATACAAACACGTACATACGTACACACACACACACACACATACATAATTAAGCTTTTGAAAATATATTTCAATTGAGCACTGTTGAAACAACAGTCACCTGCGCTAATGCAATGTAAAATTAATTAGAGCCCTCTGACTGATTGGCATTCGTTTACATTCGAAAAAACAATACGCTAGAATTAGGTGTTGGTTCCTGCCGAATGATGATACAGCGAAACAGTACTGTGTGCGAATGATATATATATATATATATATATATATATATATATATATATATATATATATACCACTAAAACACACTTTAAAATATATGGAAATCCATTTAAAATTAGGATGTAATAAGAAAAGAAAAAGGGGAAAAAGAGAAATAAAAATAAGAACGAAATCCAAGAAAAAAGGAAATTAACATCACTATGTACCTATAAAATTATAAAGATGAGTCAAAATTAAATAAATCAATTAAAATCAAAATATATAATAAAGGATAATTCAATAAACATACCTTATAGTAAGAAAATAGTAGTTAATATTAACCACAGATCGAACAGATTATACTCACAACAAAATTCGTCTATTCGTGCCAGGTTTTAGATTTATTGATATATATATATTAATTTGTCAAATTTTCTCAATTACAAAGCGGCCCTTTAAGTAAACACAATTTTATTTTCCTTCGTCCCATCTCTCTCCCCGACCTCCTCTCGTTTCTTTTCCCCCCCTCCTATCCTAACTTCTAATTGTCTATGGTGTGTGTATGTCACCACGAAATGTATCTTTATGCATTAGACATCCGTCGACATTTCTTTTCTCTCCTCTTTTTAATCCCCCACATCTCCTAAAATTCTCTCTGTTAAGGTTTCATTTCCCTCCTCCTCATACTTACACTTTCTCTAAATTCTGTTTTAATTTCCGGAGTTGTTTTTTCTGTTTTCATTTTTGAATTTGTAGGTCTGATGATTTGGATCGTATTTACGATTCCAATGGAATAAATTATGACCATGGAATATTAGTGTTTAAGCCTTTTTATTATATATATATATATATATATATATATATATATATATATACCGAGAGACAGTGGGGGGTGGGCTTGTTTGAATTTTTGCAATCAAATTTATTTATTAAAATATGTTCGCTCATTTACCTGGAAGCAGACCACTACCATAAGTATTAACGTTGAATGACCATTTTTGTTTTGGTTTTTGTGGTATTCGGACATTCTCTTCCATTAGGCATTTACCTCGACCTCTGCAAATGACAAGACATTTTTAATAAAATGTTAAAGCTCGTCACTCTCTCTCTCTCTCTCTCTCTATATATATATATATATGAATAAAAACAAAAGGAAAACTTATCTTAGACGACGGGTTTCGTCCTCTTATCAACGCAAGTGCAAGGATTTTATTTTGCAGCACGTATTTATATTTATTAGACACTTAATTGTGTTGCCTCATGTTCTCCATAGCTTGCCTGACTTTTCAGCTAACCTGATGAATATTTATAAACGTCTCTAAACTTAAAATGTTGAAAAATCAATAACATTTTCCTCTTCTATATACTTATAAAATAAACTCCGTTCACTTGCCTTGATAAAGTCCCTAAAAGGACAAAACTCGTCGGCTAAGATAAATTTTCCTTTTTGTCTTTATTCATATTGTCATTTTACAGATATAATCTACCTGAAATTTTCACACACGCACACACACACACACACGCACACACACACATATATATATATACATATACATACATACATACATATATATATATACAAATATGTAAGCAAATATATGGATATAGATCCGACAGTATGAAGAAAAATATATGGAAAAAAACAAAAATCCGAATATGCAAATATGCTGTTTTAATGTTATTTCAATATCGACGTCAGACGTTTCGGGTCTAGTAGACCTTCTTCAGGGGGTTATTAAAACAAGCATTAGACGATATTCAACAACATGAAAAGACGATAGACATAAGAGTGACTAATCAAAACAGAATAACTAAAATTTTAAGATCAAATATTATTTTTCCTTTTTAATTTTGAATTATTCTAAAATATTTTAAATGAAAAATGACAAAAGAATTTTATTTTTTTCTATAAGTACGTTTGTCGAGCATTAATTTTTTTATTTTTTCACCATGCGTGAGATTTTTATGCCCCACAAATCACTAAGTTTTGTTTGCCTTTGTTTATTTTACTTTTTACACATTTTGCGAATATCCGTTTTGTTTGAAATTTATTTTTGTTTGTCCATCGCCCGTTTTTACTTTTTGATCTTTTCAGTTATTCTGTTTTGATTAGTCTTAAAAAAAAAAATTTTATTTATTTTACATTTTATAAAACATTTGTTCTGTTTCTTGAATGAGTTGGAATTGGACCACGTATCATGGACTTTTGAATTTTTGTTTAAAACATGGAAATAATTTAAAAAAAAACACCACCGACGGTGTTTCTTTTTGTTTGCTCCTTTGAAAATTTGTTTGCCTGTTTTTTTTTGAGAAAAAAAAAAAAGAAAAAAAGATGTTCTGTCGAATGGTTACGCAGCTCATGGAAGAACAAATAAGAGACAAATTTTGAAGGGTCGTTTAAGAGAAAATGAAAATTTCTTACGATCCCTGAAGCACTGGAAGCGGTAGAAAATAAAATCATTTCCCTGCTGACGTCCGACGTGAAAAGTCGGAAATTAACCGGAGTCAGCAGGGAGACAATGGAAGAGGTCCTAAAGACCTTGAAAATTTATCCGAAGGTGCTGGCTAGGAGGTCAAACGCAATGTGGGACATTCTCCTACCAACAGAACTGGATGCGAAGCAGTTGGCAGGCAGCGTGTTGACAACAAAAAACCTCAAGCTGCAAACGGAATACATGGGCACCCGTAGGACTAAAATAACAGTCCACGGCGTACCTGTGGACATCTCGGAGGACAGAATGGGGGCCTTCTTCGCCCAGTATGGAAAAGTGGAGGAGGTCAAAGCGATACTAAGCAAGTCCGGCATTGCCACGGGTGACGTGGAACTGCAGGTGACCCTAAACCAGAAAGAATTTAGGATAATTCCCAACACCCTGGTTTGCAGGAAAAGAAAGATGTGGGTCGTGGTGGAAGGCAGGCGACCGAATTGTTGGGTGTGTGGTGTCCTGGGACACATGGCGAAAGATTGCCCAACGAAACAGCCTCAGCCTGTAAGCCAGCCCACGCCACCAGTAGCAGCAGTAGCGGTGAACGACAAAAAGGCAGAAGCAGATAAAAACGCTGACGGAGCCTGGAAGGAGGTTGTAGGAAGGGGAAGAATGTACCAGCTCCCCCAAAAAAAAAAGGAGAAGCCTCAACCACCATCAAAGCCGCAGGTGGAAAAGAAAAAAGGGGAAAAAGATGTGGCGAAAAAACAGTCGCCCAAAAAACTCCCACAGAAACAGCAGCAGCAGCAGCAACAACAATCACAACAACCACAGCAGCAGGAGCAGCAGCAGCAGCAGCTACCAAAGGAACAAAGAGACAGTCCGATGGAAGTTGAACACATGCCTCCACCTCGAGTGGCGTCTCTGAAGAGGTGCAGAGAACAGGAGGAGGGGGAGGAGGAAGAGGAGGAAGAAGAAGAAGAAAGAAAAACACAAGAAAGTTGTTCTGGTCGTAGCCGGGCGGAACGCAGTCTGGTCAAAACCAGGAGGCGCTCCTTCCCGGCTTCGCCAATTAGATCGTCCTGCTCTCCCGGCATTAAGAGCTTCCCTTCCTCCCCTTCCCGTGCTACATCCCCCTCTCCCTCCACATCTTCCCCAAGTTCGTTGAACACACCACCACACACGTCCACCTCCTCCCCTCTAGGGAGAAAAGAAGAAAAAGAAATTGTTTGAGGGCCCCGAGTCAATTTGTAAAATTGACAAAGAAGAGTACATAAGGGGCCTGTCCAAACAAAGGAAAGCCCTGTTGGGGGTGCTGTACAAAACGACGGAGGTGGACGGCAAAAGTGTCGAGGACCCCCGTAATTTCCCAAAGGCTCCAGGTGTCATTACCTGTGTCAGAGACACTGGTGGCTACCTAAAAGTGTGGAGCCACATATTCGAGGCCAAGGAGGCCTTTCCGAACATTAGAATGTGTGAGTTGGACAACCCCGACTTGAAGAAACTGCGCAACTTTTGCTCTGGGAGGGTCCCGGTTTTAGTTCACCCCTCCTTATATAGGGCTATTAAATTAATGTACCCTATTGACGTCGGCGGTATTGTCTTGGGCGGTCATATGACGACTGAATTGGGCATTGGTAGTCTGGGACAATCCGTCGGGGTCCTACTCAACGCAGATTTCCACCCCGTATGTGTATAAGGTTTTGCGCTTATTCTTTTTTCTTTTTGCAGGCCTAGACGATGGCAATTAAGTTAGCTACACTGAATGTGAATGGATTGAGGGATCGGGGTAAGGCTGCCGGCCTGCTCCGGAACCTGTTGTCCTTTGATGTGGATGTCGCCGCGATCGAAGAGACCCACTTTGCAGTTCCGATGCGTGTGTGCTGGAGGATGACTTTGTCGTTTATTCAGCATATGGGGACCGGTTTGCCAGAGGTGTTTCTTTGCTTGTCAGACGTACTCTCGATGCGAAGGTGGACCTTGTGCATATCGATTCCGAGGGCTGGTTGATCGTGGCCGATATTGCCGTGAAAAGTGGTTCGTTCCGGGTCGTTGCGGTTTATGCGCCCAATGACCAGGGGGAGCGGGTCTCGTTCTTTCGGCGGTTGGGGCCGTTCCTGGTGGATTCAACGCGCCTAGTTTTAATGGGGGACTGGAATGCCATCCTGGACCCCAAGTTAGACAGGGGGCGGGGTGCTAGTGGGAGAGGGGGCGATCGCAGCCTGGTCGATCTGATCGACGATTATGGTCTCGTCGATAGATACCGGGTCGATCATCCCGAGGAAAAAATGTGGACGTGGGCTCTTAATTGGCCTTTTGACAAGGTGGTTAGCTACCTTGACAGAATGTTAGTGAGAAGAGCCGACATAGAACTACTAGATTGCCCTACGTTCCACTGGGTAGGCTATTCGGATCACAAACTCGTTTGTGCACGGGTAGCGTTAGACAATAGGCCTAGAATGGCTGGGTACTGGAAGTTCAATCTGTCTTTACTGGACAGGCGGGACTTCCAGGAGCAGATAATTAGACTAGTGCAGCGGGAGCTAGTGGGGGCGGTTATCGGGAATAGATGGTGGGAACGCCTTAAATGTAGGATTAGGTCCTTCACCACTGATTTCAGCAAACGGCTCGCTCTAGATAGAGCTGAAAAGGTGAAGACGCTTAAAGCTAGTTATTCCCGGGCGGTGCTGGGGGATCCCCTAGAGATAGCCTTAGCTAAGGAGGCTCTGGATCGATCAAATAGCGAGCTGTACATGGGTCAGGTAATTAGACATAAGTTAAGCAAGATGTCTTCCGAAGCCGTGAACTTGGGCGCAGATCTGCGCAGGGAAGAGGTCCGTCGAGGTGGCGATCGTTACATTCGTGAAGTCAAATCCCCGGAGGGACGTACAATTCGGGCCACTGACGACATGTGCGGAGTGTTTCGGCGCCATTTCGAGAACCAGTTTACCAAGGAGCCTGGTCTCCGTGAGGAGGAGTTTCGTAGCTATTTGGCTGACTTTCCTCGGCTTTCGCCGACTGAAGCGGCTAGCTGCGAGGGAGAGATTACGGAGGGCGAAGTCTACGCGGTTTTGAAGAAGGTCGGCAGAGGCAAGTCGCCCGGTCTGGATGGTTTGCCCTATGAATTGTACTTGAGGCTGTCGCACATCTTTGTTCCAATTTTGACTGCAGTGTTCAACAACTGGTTTCGGTCGGGGTCCATCCCCAACCGGATCACCAGGGGTGTGATCACTCTGTTGAAAAAAGGGCAAAGGTGGTGGGGGAACCTAGATGATTACAGGCCCATAACTCTGCTAAACACAGAGTTAAAGATTATGGCCAAGATCCTGCAGGAGCGTTTTGCTGTCAGTTTCCGAGTCTCTGTTGGGACCTGAGCAGACTTGTTCTGTGAGGGGCCGAACAATTCAAAGCAACCTGCATCTGATCCGCACGGTCATAGAGGGTGTAAAAGACGACGAAGAAGCCGCGCTGATCAATATGGATCAGTCCAAGGCATTTGATAGGGTCGACCATCGCTACCTTGTTTGCTGTCCTGTAGGTCGCTGGATACTCACCCGACTTCTGCCGCTGGATTAGCCTCCTGTATCGCTCCCCCAGTACTGTGGTACAGGTGAACGGAAGGTTGTCGGA